TGTCAGATGCAGTGTGAAGGAGATCTATAGGCTGCAAAGAAGTGGAGAGGAATTACAAAGCTTTTGCTTGAGAGTCTCAGTGAATAGAAGGCAGAGCCGTTGCACTTGAGAGAGAGAGTGTGTGTGTGTGTGTGTGTGTGTGTGTGTGTGTGTGTGTAGGAATTACTGAACTCGGCACAGAAAAGACACCATTCCACCTAACTGTCAAGGCTAAACTCCTTTGGTTGTTATGGAAATGGAGGGGGTGAATGAATGAAGGAGGGAGGATGGATGGAGGGAGGGAGTGAGCTGGGAGAAAGTATGCCTGGCGGGCCAAAATCAAACTGGCAGGAGTGTGACATGACAAATTGTTGCTGCGCCCACAAAACGCTGGGAGACATGATGGATGGCACACCAGCACACAAACAGCTCAGCACACACACATAAAATGGTAAATAAGTCTTGCGATAATGATTTGCATACCAGGCAGCCGCAATTCCGAGGAAAGCATATTACCAGTCACTAGAAAAATGAGAGGATGGAGACACAGAGAAAGAGAGAGGGCAAATTAACAAGACTCACCCAGAGATTATTTGCTTCCTCTCCATTCACATAAACACTCTAAAGCCCAGGCTGCCCTCCAAGGCTGATCTGCCATGTGTTTTGTAACTGATCTGAGAGTTGGGATCATAGAGAATGTTCCCAGCCTTGGATCTGGTTCCTTGACAGTTATATTAATGATTCTTTTATACATTTAAGAACTATATATTAAACAACATTGCTAAAGAAATGAAAATGTGTTAACATTAAATTTTTTTACTACATTTTTTTCTCCAAATTATTGGATTTGGTTGATAATTGGGCCATACTTGATTCACTAAACCAGATGAGTCAGATGTTCTGTAGTCAAGCTATAAACCTTAAAGGGATAGTTCACCCAAAAATGAAAATTCTGTCATTAATTACTCACTCTAATGTCGTTCTAAACCCGTAAGACCTTCATTCATCTTAGGAAAACAAATTAAGATATTTTTGATGAAACCCGAGAGTTTCCTAACCCTGCATAGACAGTAATGTAACTGAATGTTCCCAGGCCCAGAATACTTTTTGTGCACAAAGAAAACATGTAAAACAATGACTTTTTACTACAATTCTTCTCCTCCGCGTCACTGAAGACCAAACAGATTTCACTTCCGGTATTTTTTATTTGTTTTAAATGAAGCCAGTTCTGAATAAGAAGTGTCCTTGGTTCCCAGCTCGTTCTGTGAGAAGCACAGCTACATCTACACCTGTGAGAAGTTGTCCCGTTGTCCAGAAGAACTAGCAGTGTGAGTCATGGCAGATGCCCCTCTTCTGCATGACTGAATTAAGGGACATAATACACCCAAACACCCCCAAATTCTCTCAGAGCTTTTAATGGATGAAAGTTTTTATAGTGGATTATTGAGATTACCCAAAAACTCTTAAGAATCTGTTTCTCAGAGAGCAAAAGTTTTGTGTTATAGCAATAATAGTCTAATAGTTTGACCCACTTTGCAGTTTATTCTGGCCAAGAACTGCCTGCTAGACAGGAAAATATAATTCTATGTGACATTTAGGGACATGTAAATCTGAAAAAGATGATTCCACAATACCAGCCTGTGCACTCCGACTCCCTGAAGCTGCGCAGCAGTCAGCGAATCCAATTGAAACTTATCACTTTTGTGTGCAATATGCATCAAATGACCAGTGAATCTACTGCAGTCAGTCCAGGGATGTGTCGTCTAAGGTTAAGACTAAGAGAAACTGTCTTCATTTCCTGTGAAGAAAAATAGATAAAGGGGAAGATAAAGAGAGATTGGGGGAGGCATGAAAGTTCAGCAGGGTTTAAACTGTTTTCTCAGTTTCCTCTTGTGGTAAAAGCACTCTTGAACAATTTATGTCCTCTCACACCATCTCACTCTCTTTCTATCCATATCCATATCTCATTTCCGCTCTCTTCTCCTAAACTCATCTATTCCCTGTGGTCATCTGAAGACTTGCTATGAACAGCCATTAGTCAGCTCAGCGGCTGTGACATACACACTCTCTCTCTCTCCCTCTCTCTCTCACACACACACACACACACATTCATGCTCTCTCTCTCTGCAAACATTAGTCTCTCTCTGCTGCCGAAAACTGAACCAGATCATATATCTTCTATCGATCAGCCTCAGATCTAATCGGCGAGCCCAACCTCTCTCCTTTATCTCTTCCTTGTACTTTATGGAACCTCATTTGGGCTTGGTGCTTCTAGCAAGACTGACCTTTAAAAGGACACAAAGACTGGTTGTGGAACTAAATGGCCAAATTCAAATAAATCTCAAAACTGGTCTAGAATCAGACTCCCATATTAAAACTTTAGGGTACAATACAATTTAGTACAAAAAAATAAGAAGAAAAAAGAAAACTATTAAACTCATGTTATTGAATAACAAACTGCAAGTACATCATAGAAAAATTTTATAGTAGATTATCTAGGAATATATAACTTTACAGTGTGGGATTATATAAATCGAGTACAGGTATACGTAACAAGCACATTGATTCTTGGGAAAAAATACTAAAGAAGCACATAATGCGAAAGAACATTTGCTTAGCCATTTCCATAAAATAGAACCAGACTCTTACAGCTCTCAATGTCATTTGTCTGGGTTTGTCAGTGTAACCTTTAAGGCGTGCTGCTTATTCAGTCAATGACACTGAGGAATAGTGTGTGTGTATATGTGTGTGTGCACATGTATATGCTAAAAAGCAGCAGTCCTGTAAAACATGGCAACTGCTTAGTGTTTTCTAACTCACCAACACCACCTACACTCCTCTATACAAACATACACAAGCACATAGGAATGCACAATATGTCTTACATATGTCATATATATGTCATACATAGAGAGATGTTTAATGTATCAGTGTGCTTCTCTTCATAATTAAATCCAAAGCATTCCACAACACTACAGCAAATCACTCTGAATGAATCAAGTTTTTCCAAACTGGGGATTTGTGAAGGGTTTGTGAGTTAATGAAAAATTAAGAATTAATTAAATACCCATGGCAGCTTTACCCAGATCTGAGCTCTGTGGGTGGGGTGAATTGGAGCACAGATCACGAGGCCACTGCACTACACATCCTGATCATTGTGTTCTTACTCCAGCACATGCAGGGCTAACGATCTACAACTGGCCAGACAGTCTGTGCATCCTTAACTAGAGCCTCTGTGTGCGTGTGTGCGTGCGTGCGTGTGCGTGTGCGTGAGACATTGTAAATGAGCGAGCATCGACCAGTTCTGTCTACGCAAGGAGAATGACACTCAAAACGCAAGATCAAAATGTCCTCTGTGTCACTCACAAAGACCTCACACAGACACCCAAACATACACACAAAATCTGTTATATATATTAAGCCATCATTAGCATGTGCAAAATGCATAACTCAAAACAACAAGTTCACATTTATTGCTTTGTTTTCTCTAGCGTTTTCTACTCAACATATCATGCTCTGATTTCTCCCTTCCTCACACAATCCATCTCTTCATCAGTCAGAACCTTGGAGACTTTGAGTCAGGGTGACTATCAATCAATGGAAGGGCGTGTTTGCTTGTGGGTTGCCTCAACCCACACACATATACAGATGCGCTTACTGAAAAATTGATGACTGAAAAAAAGAGTTTAAAAAGTGAATAGGGAGGAAAGTGAGATTGGAAAAACAACTCTGCACATACCATCATTTGCTTCTTTTATATTACATATAGAGAAATTAAAACTTACACATGCCTAGAGTCACTGTTATTTTCAAGCAGATCTGACTGGGAGTAGTTGCTTTTCTTTTGGTTGTTCAGACAGACTGTGATTGTCGAGGCCATGTTGGGTATTTTTATGCTATTCACAAATATCCCAAAAACAGCATCAGAAGGAAGAGGTTGGACAATTACTTCTCTGCTTTCCCTCTCTGTGCTTGTGTGGGTGTCTTTGTATTTCTGTCTGGTTTCTGCTTGCACTCAGTAATTCAGCTTGACTGCAGTCAATAATTCAACCACTGATTGAACACTGGAGAACAAGGAGAGTGAAAAAATAACAAGAAATGGAAAATGAGTGATAAATTGAGATCTATCTATCTATCTATCTATCTATCTATCTATCTATCTATCTATCTATCTCTCTCTCTCTATCTAACCCCGTCTCCCTCTAGAACTCTAAACAGAAACAAGTTTACATAATTCGTTGACAGACTTACTTAGACTACAAACTGCTTACTCGCTAACCCCTTGTAAGTTGAAAATTAAACCTCTTTTGTTCCAGCAGCACTCTTTTATTATGTAACAGACGTGCCAAAGACTGTGAACTGTGGGCCCCTCTTTCAGCATTGACTGCTGATTACATAATGCAACTGCAGGTGCAGTCTGGGTTCACAAATGATACTCTCGGCACAGAATGCAAACACATGAATGAAGTTCTGTTTCTGTTCTTTTACTTTTGAATGTCTATTCATTTTTAAAGAGGGGCTGGGCTGTGTATTACATCATTAGTTTTTAAGTCTTTAAAAGATGGGACTTTATAGGCAATCAGATTCAAATAAAAATTAGAAAATTAGTTTGATTTGAATTAAAGTGATAAATAGAAAAAAATTAAGGCAGAAACACCAATATGTTGTTTCACGCTGCAACTGTTTGCAATACAGACCAAATCTTATAACAAATGCACAAAACACAAGGCTAACAGAAACATGGATGATTCAGAGAAATACAGAAGACGCTACAACTGAACTTTGTCCATCTCTGTCTAGTCGGGGATAATGTGTTACAATGCATGTAGTTAAATAAGATATAATATTAACCTTCACATGTGAAGAGAGAACAAGAGAAGTGAGAGAGTACAGAACGCAGGATGTCTGAAAGAAAAAGACTGCGGAGAGGGTGAGAAAAAGGGGGAGAGGAAAGTGGAAATCTGGATTAGTCCGAGTTCAGACTGAAATTCTCTAGTGGCCGCATGGTTTCGATTGGCAACATGTGGATTTTGGAAAAAAACACACCACAACGGTCCACAGGCCTAAAACAGCGTTTCATCAGTGCCCTGCTGTACTGCACCGGAGAAATGCAACAATTACATACCCACATGCAGGGTAAGAGACCACAACACTACAGTACAGAACATTCAGGTCAATAAATGATGAATAATATACTGCCACTGTGTGAATAATATGTAATCATGTAATCCATAAAAATGTAACTGTAATCTGATTATGAACATTGTAAAATGTAATACTCTAATTACAAGTACTTCTAATTACGTAATCCAGATTACAAGTAATTGGTTATACCCAGCACTGCTCCCATCCACGTTCTTTGTGAATAGAGCATCAATATCTGCTATTAACATATTCTGCTGCTAACCATCTTTTGTCAGAATATTAATTTTTGGTGAATTCTCTATTCTCTCCCAGATAAATTCTTCCCGCTGCAGCTGGTTGAGTGGTGTTTGCGTGGGATCTCACGTGTGATTCTACTAAACAACCCCCTGAGTGGAGCTCTGATTTTGGCAGCGCTGCTGCTGGAGAGCCCCTGGCAGGCTCTGCTGGGGATGCTCGGCCTTTTGGCCTCCACCTTCACAGCTATAATCCTGGGACAGGACTGGTGAGGACTTTCACCCCCACACATACACAAAATTACATATGCATGCACAAATGCACAAATAAAAGTATACTCAGGCATCCAAGCATAAACAAAAACATGCTTATAGCAAAAACAAACAACAACCGAATGCACAAAACACAAGCAATTACAAGAATAAACAGGTGCAAACCTACCAAAACAAATCTCAGAGGCACAAACTGCTTTTACAGCTGCGTACATTCCTTCACATTTCAATCAGACTTCACTGACTGTGCTGTGCATTCTTGATTCACTAAAAAGAACTGGTTCACAAGAGCAGGGCAGGACTTATGGGGCCAGGGGCCCCTGGGCTTGAGGTTATGTTTGGGCCCCATACCTATACTACAAATGCCCTCAACTAGAACATTATTATGGAGTAACACAAAATGCACAAAAATTAAAATATGCTTTCAGGTTCATATACTGTATACAATTAATAGGCAACATGTCTAGCCTAGTCAAAGTTTAGATGTAATATTAAATAGTCACTATAATACAATAAACAGGATGTGATCTCTCAGTTGAGAGATCAAAAACCTGAAATAACACTGTGCAGATGTTCAGAACACTGAAGAGATGTATTATTATGAAAATGTATTGTCATATCTGTGTCTTTTTATGTCAGATTTAATTAACAATAACCAATAGGCCTAATTAATTAACATTGTTAACATTAACATTTGGTATGAAAGTGACAGCAGCTTTTAGTATGCCTGCTGTCTGTCAGTCTGTGTTAAAGAACAGGAGAAAAAAATCACTCTGCTCAAATCTGCTCTTGACTAAATAACTTTTTATTATTTAATATGGATTAATATATAAATATAATCTATATCTATGACTTTATACATCATAGTATTTTGTTCCTGAATAGTAGCAGCTACTGTTAGTTTTAGGCTAGCCTACCTGAAAAGGTTAAAACACAGTTTGTTTCATTTGTATCCTTGTGCTATTGCTAGTAACTTGTTCATTTATACTGACCGTTTAATTGTCTTAAATTGCAATTTAAATTCTCTCTTGGAAGGGAGAGAGAACTCAAAACTCTTCAGATTAATTTAGTGGAACATTAATATAATATAGAATCATCCTCTGTAAAGAAGACATGTGAGAATTTATCATTATCTTTGTAAATGTGCGCTCTTTTGGGCTAAAGGCTTAATGGAACCGTTTAAAGTAGCCATGTGATCACAAATTAATCGGCGATTCGGCGCAGCGCAAACATGATTTAATACGCGTGTCCTTCTTCTATGTGAAAAAAATCATAAATTCCAGTTTATGCTGTTTGATTATGGCTTCGAATGTCGTAGTTGGAAGCTGGAAGCTGGCCCGTTCGCGCTGTTGAAATGCGACTAATAATTTATGACTAGCACATAACTGAACAAATGTAAACGGGTTAAGGCGGGGCCCCCTACAAGGCGGGGCCCCTGGGCTGCAGCCCAGTCAAGCCCAATGGTAAGTCCGGCAATGCACAAGAGTCATTTCTGTGAGAATTGGACTTCAGTGGTCGTTCTGTTTGCTATTCCTACACAAAAATGAACTGGCTCATAAGAGTCATCCCTTTTGGAATCAGAATACACAGTAAATTCTTGTAATTGAATGTTATTGATTAATTAAACATAACCGGCTCATAAAAGCCTTTTTCATTCTGTTTGTTCATGACAAACTACAAATAAATAAGAGTAATTCGTTCAGGAATTAGAGTACAGAGCGCTCTATGTTATTGATTCACTATAGATAGAACCGTCGGGTCATTTATGAAAGAATCGGACATCATTGATTGTGCTGTTTATTACTGATAGAGCTCATAAGAGTCATTTGTCCAGGAATTGGACAGCATTCGTTGCGCTGTTTGTTACTGATAAAAAGAACCGCCCCATAAGAGTAATTCGTTGAGGAATTAGAGTATACATGGCCACACTGTATGTTGATGATTCACTGAATAGAACCGGATTGTAAGAGTCTTTCATGCAAGAATAATTTTTCGGGATGTAGGACTACAATGGTCATGCATAAATCTCATTTGTTCTCCATTTAATCTCATTGCATACACACACACAAAGAAAACACACATAGCTCAGAAAACAAACATAGCTGTATTTGCATCTAAGAATGCATCTAAGCATTCCCCTGGTCTGTTGAAAAACTCAATTTATCTAAGCACATGACAAACATGGCTAGAAGAGAAGCACATGCTGATTCCAATCTGACATGTGATCCTAACCTGCAGTGAGGAGGTATCCAGTGGCCTTCATGGTTTTAATGGGATGCTGGTGGCTCTGCTGATGGGAGTGTTCAGCTCTGCTGGAGACTGGTACTGGTGGCTTCTGCTGCCTGTGTATCTCGGTGGAGCTGCAACGTAAGATACACACAAGCCAATTCATCGATACGAAACACATTATTCTGTCGCATTCACAAAACGAAACACAAATATTTGCTTACCATTCCAAACCCAAACAACCCTTCTCTCTCCTGTCTCAGGACTTTTCTTTCCAGCAGTTTGTCTCCAGTTCTGGATCGCTGGGATTTACCAGTGAACGTCTTCCCCTTTAACACAGTCATCGTGCTGTATCTGGCCTGTACTGGAACTTCTAACCCCTATTTTCCAAACCATCCTGCCCAGCCACCAGGGGCGCCAGGGAGCACCAACCACACTCAACTCCATGTTCCACAGGTGAGTGGATGAAATAGAATTGCAGCTACAAATACTGATATGAAAAAGCAACTCAAATGATTTGCCATTCATGCTCTTAAAATATCTATCCTGTCATCGTATTGATTAGATTTGATTATATTGTCCCTCTCGCTCTGCCTCTCATTCCCCTGTCATATTGTCCACTCTCGCTCTGACATAGCTCTGTCTTTTTATTTACCATCTTCCTGTTTTGCCTCTTTAACCTCCTTTATCTGTACACACAGTGGTCTATTCCTTCCTCCATATATCTTCATCATCCTTCCATTTCACATCTCTCCTGGGATGTGTGTGTATGTGTGAGTGTGTGTGTGTTTAGATGTTTTATATCATGATGATGATCGTATTGCATTACTCTGGTCTGTTGAATGACATTAGGGTGCACTGGGCTGATCTGCCTTCTTTGACAGACTACAGCAACCGACTATTATGGGCTGTTTATAGCCTATATATTCTTGCACTAAATAGTATCTGTGCTTTTACCACGTCTCTATAGAAACAGCTTGATCCGGTAATGATGGGTGCACAGGGCTGACAGAAATAATGGAGAACAATTTTTATATTTATTTTGTATCTGTTTTTATCTCTCAATGTCATGAATATTCAATGTGAAAGAAGCCGAGTTAAAAGCCCATTAAAATTGACTTTTAAAATGAGTTCATATTATATCGAGCTCAAGTCAGCAAATGATTCATGCACAACATTGTGACAGGAATAACATGGGTATAATATCAGTAAATGTGCCAGATTTTGATCTATATGCTTGTAAAAGCTGACGAAACAATCTTTTAACATAATTTAGGATAATTAAAATAATGTCTATAACAATGGATATGTCATCGGTTTTCTGTTTCAATAGGAAATATATCAAAGCAGGAAAGAATATTTCATAGAGTCTTTAAGATCAGCTAATATAGATAATAAAAAGATACACTACCATTCAAAAACTTGGGCAGAGTATGATTTTTTTTAAATCAATGCTTTTATTCAGCAAGGATGCTTTAAATTGATCAAATGACATTTAGAATGTCACAAAATATTTCTCTTGCAAATAAATGCTGTTCTTTCTATTTATCAAAAAGTTTGTTTTACTTGTTTATTATTCAAATAAATGCAGCCTTGGTGAACATACGAGACTTCTTTCAAAAACATTACAATTTTATTGACTGCAAATTTTTCAATGGTAGTATAAATTTACTGTAATATGCATTGATATGCTATATGAAGACATTAGTCATGTATTTAGGCCTCATCTACAGGTGTGTTTGCTGTTCCCATCAGCTCCTGCAGGGGGTGGTGTTGGGCGTAGGGCAGATCTTTGCATGTGGGACTGTAGGCTCGTCTCTGCTCATCCTCGGTGCTGTTTTCCTCTTCTCACCCATCCTGGCTGTCTATGCTCTCCTGGGCTCTGGCATTAGCACTATAGCAGGTGAGTCAGAAATTAAAAGCAAATATCAGCAGAAAAATAATATCTCAAAAGTTTCTCCAAGACCCCAACATGATTGAATGGAAACCAAACAAGTCAAAGATCTAAATATGAAACATTTCTGAGAAAAAAATCCAAGACCACATTATCTGAACAATGCCATCCGCATTCATTTTAAAGCTCTATGCTGTTTCTATATGCTGACAATTGTCTCATTTTTGTCTATTATTTTTTTTTTAATTGTTACTTAAACATAATATGAGAAAGCTTTTGAGCTATGAAAGAGACACTTTTTTGGAGCATCTGCATGGTGGTATGGAAGGATGTGGGATAGAGATACATGGATGAACAGAACAAATCAAACATTTTGGCTAAATCTTGGGTTCTCTAGGGCTTTGTGCTGAGTATTCTGGCTGTGTAGCGGTGATTTATTCAGCTAAAGCAGCCTGCAAACAGATTTCCTCAAACACCTACTATGCAGAAGATAATGATTTGCGCCTGCCGTTTGACAATTAGCCAGTTTTACTGTTGCGTTTAGACCATGGAAGGTGTTTTTACCCTTTCACTCATTCTCTCTCTCATATACACTGACAGTCTTTCTTTCTCCTTTATATTTTCTATACACAGCCGTACGGAGACATATGAGTCATCGCAGACACAAAGACACTACAGAGGTTGGGTAGACTGTGTGTGTGGGTCTGTTTGTGAGAGAGAGAGAGAGAGAGAGAGAATTAAGGTAGAAGAGACTGATGTAAGATACCTCGTCCCCAGCACAACGCCCACACATAATACACACTGTTTCATTTCATCCCCTGCAGTGTGATTCACACTCACAAACTTCAAAGCTCTCATGTAATATTCCATAAAGGAGCAGCGAAGAGTCTTTGGGCTTATCAGGGACTCTGCAGTATATCCTTGTTTGTGAGACAGCTGTCTGTTATTCCCCGTAGTAGCGAGGGGGTTGATTTTAGAAAGGAAGAATCACTTTTCTGGCTTTTCCTTGTCTATTACCCTGTCTGTGTGTCAGCAGAACATTTAAATTTAATTTGGAAAGGGTTCAGATTGCTAGAGGGTTTGAACTGTATGAGACAGATGGAGAGAAGGAGAGAAAGCAGTGCTGGATTATGGATGGGGCCGATGGGGCCAGTGCTTCAGACTGTCTGGGGCCTCTAAAGTCTCAGGCCACACATTCTGAGACTGATAAAGGAAGCTGAACATCAGGGCCCTTGGCACATACACTGCTGTTCAAAAGTCTGGGATCTGTATTTTTTTATAGAAATAAATACTTTCATTCAGCAAGGATTCTTTAAAGTTTAAACCGATCAAAAGGCATTTATTATGCTATTAAATATTTCTATTTCAAATAAATGCTGTTCTTTAACCTTCTATTTATCAAAGAAATCTGATAAAAAGTTTATCACACTTTCCAAAAATATTAAGCAGCACAACTGTGTGCAACTCTCATGGCAATGAGAAATGTTTCTTGAGCAGCAAATCAGAATGATTTGAAGGATCACATAACATTGAAGACTGAGGTAATGGCTGCTGGAATAAAATATATTAATGAAAATATATTCAAACAGAGAACAGGTAAAACTGTAATCGTATTTCACAATATTTCAGTTTTTACTGTATTTATGATCAAATAAATGCAGCCTTAGTAAGCATAAGAGACTTTTGAAAAAAATGTTTTCGAAAAAGCAAACAAACAAACAGAAGTATACAGCATAAACCCACCACACGTCTCTCTCCCATTCTCACATTTTACCTCTCTGGATTAATAAAGTACTGTTCTTTACATTTCAATGTGCCAGCAGTACTTGCGGGAACTATGAATGTAAGACTTCCAAAGACCCGTTATCTGAAGACTGTCCCTCACACACACACTCTACACATCCTCACCATCCAATCAATACCACTCTTATCCCTGCACTCATCTTACCATCCCATTCTCCTCTTTTTTTTTATCGATTAATGGTTCACTCCTCTCTCCCTGGTGTAGAATTTCTCTCTTACTACAGTATGTAATTACATCTGTATTTTACCAGACAGAAGCCTACAGAGAAATAGACACCCTTTACAAGATTGTTCTTTTAGAGTTCTTCCCAATTACGATCAAGCTATTGTACAGGTACTGTTTTCTCATCTGATATCCTAAATAATGTTGATTTTCAACCTCATGAGCTGAAACCATTTTTTTAGCTGTTTATTTCCTATTCATTTAAATGAGGTTTGTAATTTTGTAAACCTTCTTACCAGAATTTGGTTCTAAATAAAGCTTAAATTTAGATTTCCATAGTATTTTCTAGTAATAAACATAAGAATTTTAAATTAAATGTATGATTTCTGGGACAAGTCTCATTATACTCATAATGACTGTATGAAAAGGTGAGCTCGTAAATCTTTGGAAATTGACTGAGATGTGAAAAATAGTTTCCATATGACAGGTATTGAGGAGTTTAAATGGAACAACGAGCCCTGATGAATCATTCACAATTAGACCAAGAACATTAAGTCCTTTTCAAAGAACATGATGCTTATGAATCTATTGGCAGCAGCCTTGAAAGCAAACTTTCAGCTATTACAGGGAATGATGTGGTGTGATTTGTCATGTGATGTCACTTCCATTTGTACCTTACATAAAAACATCTCATCTAAATCTAATCTACAACAAATTAAGTCTACAATTAATTCTCAAGACCCTCCACACCAAACATATTAAGTTCAGAGGTTTGGTTTAATTGTAGTCATAAGAAAGTGCAATAGAACTAAAAGTGGTTTATATGTTTGTTTGTCCAAAGATTTCACTAAATCGAAACAGAATGGGGACTCCTAATCCTGTCCCGCAGCATGAAGAGTGGTCCACTGATAATGAGATTTGGTGTTTAGCAGACAGGCTGTTCATGCTGTTCATGCTGTCATGACTCATATTATAAACCCACTGAAGTTAGCACAGGTTCACAACTGATGATCCCGCACACACAAATGCACAAAGATGAGCCCGTAACCATGGTGATACTGAAACTAGGACTAATGAATCCATTCTGGGTCACAGATGTTGAATTTAGGTTATAGAATTGCATAGATGGCATATATCAGTGTATTGTAAGCGTTATATAACCGGATCAGAGATGAGTTATGGAAACACCAGAAAAAAATATTGCATGCCTTGTGATTCACAGCATTTGAATTGGAAATGAAGACCTGATTCCCTTCTGCACTCAAGATTGTGTGTGTGTGTGTGTGTGTGTGTGTGCTTGAGAAGGAATCTTTTAAATCTATTCTTCAAATCTCAAACTATTTCAGTGACACACTAATCATGAAACGCCACACAACACAATCTGTTTTATAATTAGTATGTCGTCTACGAATGTTTACCAGTTTGTAACAGCTTGAAATCTGTAAACCTGTCAACAGGCTCCAAATGTACAAACATGCATACTGATTCATGCTAAAAAAAAACATTTATTTATAAAAAAGAAAACAATATCTGGGAGAAAAAAGAGAGTGAACAGATGCTATGAGCCTTCTGGGTGACATTGCTTTTCTGTTGAGATGGGAAAGAGAATTCTGGGTGTGTCCCTCCTGCTGCTGCTGATGCTAGGTTTTCATCTCAGAGCTCTTTTATTGGGAGTCCTTCGCTATGAAACGATGAAACATAAAGAGTCCCAAATGTGCAGTCAGAAGGATGCACTCAAATGTTTTGCACTGGAGCTCATTTCCCCTGCATTCATAAGTTGGCATTTTCCATGAACAGAGTACGAAATAGGGACTAAAACATTTTTTAATGTTTTTAAAAGTCATTTTTTATTAAGCCATTTTTCTTTTCTTTTTTTACAAAAATAGATGTTTCATTAACTTTTGTGAAAGAAAGGAATATACACATTTTATTATCATATTCATTTTATATAAACTACCGTTTACAAGTTTGGGGATGTAAGATTTTTTATGTTTTTGAAAGAAGTCTCTTATACTCACCAAGGCTGCATTTATTTGTGCAAAAATACAGTGAGAACAGTAATACTGTGAAATATAATCAAAATTTAAAATAACTGTTTTCTATCTGAATATATATTAAAATGTAATTTATTTGTGTGACAAAGCTATGAATCTTTCACAGTCTTCAGTGTCTCATGATCCTTCAGAAATCATTCTAATATGCTGATTTGCTGCTCCAGAAACATTTCTGATTATTATCAATGTTGAAAACTGTTGTGCTGCCTAATATTTTAGTGGAAACTGTAATAATGTTTTTTCAGGATTCTTTGATGAATAATAAGTTAAAATGAACAGTATTTGTTTCAACATTATAAATGTCTTTCCTGTCACTTTTGATCAATTTAATGTGTCCTTACTGAAAAACTTGCTGTTAGTACAATAGTGTATAGGCTATTTTATATGCTGAATATGTCTATATTTAAAATCAATGTTTATAACAATAAACACCAAATTAAATTAAATGATCAATGATCCAAATTAAACTAAACTTGTTCAATTAGAAGATAGATAGATGGAAAGGCGCCAGATCTGTATAGCTGTACCATGGTCAGGAAAAACAAATGGTGAATAAATGTAATTAGGCAAAGAAGTTATCAAATGTGAGCATGCATGCAGCCATGCAAATATACATCAGTTACCGTAAGAGGCATGTTCTTGAGTTTTATTGAATAGATTCATGCTGTGAAAAAATGCAGAAAGAGAGAGAGAGAGAGAGAGAGATGATGTGCTACAACACAAGAAAGCTCTAGAAAATGGTGGGCGGTGAGTGAAGTCTGAAGGCTTGGACAGGAACATGGGGGCAGCAACTAACTATATTCTGTAATGAATATACATTGCCACCTTCAGTTCACAATCAGAACTACAATCAAGAACCCAAACCCTCTAAATACATTTGTGTACAGTACACCAGATATCAAATATTATTTTACAAAATACCCAAGAAATTCAATAACTGACCCATCAAAAAAGACGAAGTACCTTCTTTAGGCAAAGCATAATACATTTTGAAAACTTTATTGTTGCACATTGCTTACAGGTTCACATAAAGTAGGCAATTCAGTCAATACTATGCAGTATACATTTTAATAGAATAGAAGTATGCTAGTATTTCATTCTGAACACAACCATGGTAAGGAAGTCAAAATACCTGAATAGAGTTTCTGGTAGCATCCTATTCATATTCACCTCAATGGCAGTTGCTCAAATAGGCCTATTACATGCAGTCCCAGAGAATGTGATGCTGTCATATTCACTCACTGACCACTCTGTTCCAGACACAAACTAGTTTTAGCCAATCACCAGAGCCATAGATTGCATTTTGCTTGCATAATAGGGTAGTAGGCCACAGCAGAACCACCAGCTGCTACATATCTCTGTAGGCTAACCTGGAAGTTAGCATCACCCTTGTTCCCTCAACAAAAACCCAAAATGACTTTTCCTATTGCAGAAATTAAGCTTTGTGAAGTTTATGATACTTACACATTTTGTTCATCATGATAATCTTCTGAACTGAGCACAACTTTTATGAATTTGACACATTCACCAGAAGTAAAAACCTAAACATAAGCTATAAATGAACTACACCAAGGTCACATGATTTCAACATCACCTCCATTAACCCTTTAGATCTTTCTTTTAAGTTTGAGTAGGAATAGTTAGCAGTAGGGCTGTCGCGATTCGTCGATTTTATTCGACTATTCGATTTTTTTAAATCGCGTGGACTAACCTGCAAAATACCGGAAGTGGCGCATTTCACGGACGAGAATCCATAAAACACATTATTAGACTGTTTCCCAAGGCTGCATGATATATTAAACCCATTTAAAAATCATAATTAAGCATAATTGTGAATTTACAAACGCTACGATTGAATTAATTACATGCAATGCCGTTCTAATACAGTATATGCGCTTTCATTATTTACATGCGTGTAGGTTAAGTACATGCTTCACACAGCGGCTCCGTTCACAGTAGCTCCACAGGAACTGTTATCATTTACACGTGTCGAGCGTCTCAAACTCCATCTCTATGTTGTTGTGAGTTTGGGTTTATTATAACGTTCATCTGGGAACGCAACGTGCACCATTTCATCAGATTTGTAAGGTAAATGATTTATAAATCTACGCAAACTCATGAGAATACATCGCGGTTTCAAGATAAAAGTTGCTCTATTGTTTATAATACATTATGTATTTTAACAGTTTTGTTCAATAAAACCATATGATTTCTTGCTTTTGATACTTTATTTGAACTAATGATATTGCCTCATTGCTATTATATATGTATTTTAAGTCATTTTAAAGGCTATTGTTCACTTACATCTATTATTAACACACAAAAAATTTATTATAATTAATAATGCCCTATGAAATCCGTTTTATTTCCAAATTCAGTTTTGTTCCATTTTCATTTTTCTATACTCTGTTTTAATGGTTAAATTAAATTTTATTAATCAAGAAGCCTGTCTAATTAATTGAGTTTTACAGTTTTATCTTTACCAAATTCTGTTTTCCATTATTTTCTGGATTCCATTTGAATGGTTCCATTACATTTTAATAATCAAAAGCATCTCCAATTAATTGATTTTATAAAAATAAAAATGAAAATCTTTTTTTTTCAGAAATACTGCACATTTACATTTTTCTCCTAAATAAATTCTGGTAAATAACATTTCTGGTAAATACTCCTTTAAAAAGTGTTTTTTATTATAATTTTATTAGTAGTAGACTAGAACACCTGGATATGTTGTCATTCTTACACTATAATACTGAACTTTGATTTCAGTGATTTGGACTATAAAATGGATGCTTTACTTTTGCTTTAAAAAAAGGATTTCATAGAAATTTGGATTTCATTTGGTTTAATAAAATATAGTTTAATAAAATATTCTTAAGTAAAATTGGTGATTTCTTGTGGGAAATTAATCGTTTAGATTAATCGATTAATCGATAAATTAGTCAATAAATTTATCGAAATAAAAATAGTCGTTAGTGGCAGCCCTAGTTAGCAAAAGTGCAATTATAAACACGAGTGAATGGATGAGTTTTCCTGTTGAGTATGATCATGATGGCATTTATTGTCCCGTTTAGCCTTTTTTTTTAGCAAAAGTTGTCTTTATCAAGACAAACAAAAGCTTTCCAAAATAACAGAGTGTAATACTGATGTACTTTATGTCATAGAATAACACATGAAAAAAGGTTTATTTCAGGCATTTAACCTAAAACCCATTAATAAAACCCATTGACTTCAGGATAATGGAACCGGAGAGTCTAATGCTAACTTGTTTCTGGGTTTAGGCTACAAAAATAAGTCATCCCTGCTGCAGCCTATTGCAAATTCGGTCTAAATGATTTTTAACATGCCAGTCTGTTATTGTAGTAATATTTCAGCCCCAAAATGGCACATAAAACAAAACAAACCTGTCAAAGTGGGTCGTTCTTGGCCAGAATAAGCTGCAATTTGGACCAGCCATTAGTCTAACACTAGCAAAGCTTTGACCCCCTAAGCCATGGTCAATAACTGTATGGACTCAAGTTCTCTCTGTTGCCTTCTGCAGGTCTGTCTATGTCAGTGCAGCACAGCTTTCTGTACTCTGGCCTCTCAGGTTTTAATGGTGCTCTGGGTTGCATGACCATAGGCGTGTTTTACATACTTAGCTGGAGAACGCATCTCTTATCTATTGCAAACGGTGAGTAATGCACAGAAACATCCTTTGTAGTGTTATTTCATTTTTCTACAACTAAATTATTTATTCTCTCTTAAGCCTTGCTTTCAGCTTACACAGACATCGCCTTGAGCAACCTGCTAGGAGCTGTAAGTGAACACACAATTATGCACACTCTGTCCAGCACACCCTCTGGGTTTCATCTCTGTATTCAGCCAGTTTTTGTTTGTTTCCCTCTCACCTGTGCAGTTGGGCCTCCCAGCAAGCAGTTGGGCTGCAACTCTGACAGGCACTCTGATGCTGTTGCTGACAGGAAAAAACCTCAAAGAATACAGAATCCCTACTGGAAAAGTAACCTCGCCAGAACAGAACTTGCACTCACACAAGCAATGGTCTGCGGCCAATACGAATGCAGCTGATGTATAGTGTTTACATAAATTCATAGATATATAAATATCCAACTGTGACAGCACATGACATTTTAAAAGAAATTACTACTTTTTTTCAGCAAAGGTGCATTAAATGGTTCAAAAGTGACAGTAAAGTATTTTTCGAATGTTACAAAATATTTCTTTTTCAAATAAATGCTCATCAAAGAATCATGAAAAAATGTATCATGGCTTCCCCAAAAATATTAAGCAGCACAACTGTTCTCAACATTGATAACATAAATGTTTCTGAGTGAGTACTGGATTGAAAATTCTGCTGACATCAAAAGGAATCATTTGTATTTTAATACATTAAAATAGAAAAAAAATCATTGTATTAATATTTAAAAATACTCTTGTTTTTTTAATCAAATAAATGCAGCCAAAACATTAAAAAACGTATCAACCACAGACTTTTGATCTGTAGTGTGTATATAATAAACAGTAGCGTTCTGATGTGTATATCAGAAATTACTAAAGTCATGAAATTAATATAATGTAAATACTTATGGACCATACATACACATAAACAAAAAGGAGACCTTTTGCGAGAAAGGAAAGGGTTTAATGATGCTGTAAACACGTTTTATTCCATTATTACAAAAACTGCAGTTGTACTGTACCATAATCCTTAAAAACATTCAATGCAAACAATTTAACATTAAATATTACTATCTAAGCTGAGACCTTTCAGTGTGCATATCACAATTCCAACATTAAAACCTGCAGAAATAGTGAAAGTGCTCTAAAATGGATGAAAAGTAAAGTTAGCATGCAAAATCAAATGTCTTTAACCATAAATGTACAAAAACTAGCAAATAATCTCAAATCAGTGAGATTATATCAAACAATATCAAATCAATGGTGCAAAAAAGCTGATTTAATTTATTATGTTTCTTTTATGATTGCCATGGCGATTAAAAAAGGCTATTGGTTAAAGATCAGAAGGCATATTATTGAATGTGTGGACAGACGTGCATACAGTGTGTGTGTGTGTGTGTGTGTGTGAAGGGACAAAGAGAGAAGGCTAGAGCTAACAATAATTGAGACTCTCTCAGAAGATTAGTGAGTATGTGTGAGAGAAAAAGAGAGTTCATTCAAAGAAAGAACTATAAAAAGCCCTGCGAGATGCACCATGATTCATCAGTCTTGGGAGGTCAGGGTCCCTTCAGCACACTGGAGGAGCTATTTCATGTCTAGTACATGACAATATTCAGAAGTCTGCTTTGTGAGCCTGACCATGACTGGCTAGGGGAAGTTTGTGTGTGTGTGCGCTGAATACAAAAGAGAAACATTGTGCTTTTTGCTCCTACATCCATCCATAGCTGCAACACAGACACTCTCAATAAAAAACAGCAAGTTTTAGCATCCCCAACCGCTGAACCAATAAAAGAGCTCAGAGAAAGCAAGCTGAATGCTGATTAACGAAGATGAAGCTGTAAACAAGTGATCACTATTAAGTTCTCATTTTGTCCCTAATGTTTTTTCACAAAGCCCCCAACTTTGACCATAAAGCCTAAAAGCCTGTTCACACTAAGTCCAATGTGACTAAATGGCAAGAAATTTTAAAATAGTCACAAAAAGTGCCTACAGACAATCTCTGATAGTCCCACAACTACTTTCAGTGTAAACACATACCATAAACCTACGTTTCCTACATTTTATTGTGGCTTGTACTATTATAAATAAAATATTCACAAACAAAATATTTTAACAAACAAAACAAATAGCAATCAATCTGATGCCAAATTTTTGTTATTCTCTGAAATGCAAATGCATAAAAAGCCTTCAAAAATTCCAGATCATCATAGTACAATATATTTATTTTCATCTGATCTTGGATTTGATTTTGGCATGCAAAATGCATTTCGTTTATTTATTTATTTCGGGGGTGTGGGGGGAATAGACCTTAATGCTTCACCAAAGCACTTCCTAAGCACAACTATAACCACAGCTCCAGCCTCAAACATGGCAACATGTTCATTTGAAATCTGATTTTCTTTCAGCTGGATCCTGTGTGTTTTGGATATTTGCTTATAACAGCCTCCCCAAAACTACACCTTCTCTAGGCCGTGCTTCTCCACGGAGGATTTCCAGAAATCCCAGCTTTGTCAAAAATTCCATCCGTAATCCATCTATAGGCTGGACCTCGCAAAAAACACCCTGTGAACCTGAGGAAGAAAGAGAAAGGAAATGCTCAAGGCTAATATCAATGATATTATCAGCCAGTCTGGAAACATGCTTAAAATCAGCGTTTGTTCACCGTTAGCTTTGAGAGCCGTTAGCAGGGCTGTGAGGAGGCTACGACTGACGCTACAATCCACCAGTTCAGGAAGAGCCTCAAGCCTGAGCCGAGATGGGAAATGATACAGCAGGGAGTCTGGATAGTCCTGTTCTTCATGGAAATACACCAGCGCCTCCTAGGGATTTGGAGGAGAAAGTGCAATTCAAGCCATGTCAGGATTAGATGTTACTATTGCACCATTTTAAGAATACTGCATAATAAGTGTGGTTGTGTGTTTAGCTTTAACTCTTACCTTTGTTGCAGTATGTCCACTCGCTCCATGGGGGCGTGAAGGATATTTGTCCCTCATAGCAGGTAGCCAGGTGGCCTGATATCGTTTGGCAAAGGAGCGGACATCCAGAATACCCACAGCGCACCCACATACACCCAGTTCATCCTCCAGAACCAAGCTGTACTCTGGGCACAAGGCCAGAGACGCACCCAGACACCTGAAACACAAACACACACCAGAAAGAGGCTGATATTTCTCATATACCTCAGGACTGCAAAACATTAAGGAATTACATTTTAGTACAACCTCCTGTTTTTCTTGTATTTTCTTAAAGAATGTGTTCTCCCTTTATATACAGTACCATTCAAATGTTTGGGGTTGATACAGTTTTTTAATGTTTTAGAAAAACGTCTGCCAAGGCTGCATTTATTAGTAAAAACAGCAATATTGTGAAATATTGTTACAATTTTTAATTCATATTTCATTTTAATATATTTTTTAATGAAATGTATTCCTGTAATGGCAGGTCTGATTGTTCAGCAGCCATTATTCCAGTCTTCAGTGTCACTTTTTTTTTTTGTAACATAAATGTCTTTACTGTCACTTTATCTCAGGAATCAGTGACAATGAGAAGATATAGTTTGTGCTCAGATAGAAGCATCTACTGAACAATAAAAGTCAGAACATTTTATATAGGGGCTGTGATATGCTTGAGAGCAATTCTTGCCTGTCCCCAATGAAATCTGGATGGGAGATGGCAGCATCCTGGCTCCCTTTACCCCTCTGATGCAACTGACGCACCATTCGGTACAGCTCCACCTAGAGTTGTGGGGGGAAAAAACAATGAGAAGAGTCAGAAATGGGTAATGAGATTCCCCTTGTCCAAATACCCACACTTGCGGTCTTGGCCACTTGAGAGCGTGTGCGCGCGACAGGAAGTAAGTGCGCAAGACTGTCCCAGGTCTTAAAAACGCCAGTGCGCAGTGCCCTTAACGCACACTAAATCCACACTATCTCAAATACCACTCCGGAGCACTAGTCTCATATAAGTAGTCAAGTGGTCAAGTGCAAAGACCGCAAGTGTGGACAAGGCTATTGAGTCAATTGGTTACCAAGTGTGCTTGAGTCACCTTGTCTTTTTGCTGGAATGGCCGTATATTATAAAGTCGAGAGGTGGGGAACAGAGGGGGAGGGTGACTGAACAACTCAGTGCTGGTCCCCACAGGCAGAAGCATCTGATTCACACCAACACCAGAGGCAGACAAAACAAGAACAAGACAGGAAAAGATCAAGCAGACTGTGAAAAAACTGCAACAAATCAATCTGGCCCTTTAACCTAATCTAATGCCATTTGTAACTGAATCATTAATTATATCATTCTTACCTGCACCTCTCCAGATAGTCCTCCTTTAAACACCCATGGTTCCGCCTCCACGCCATGGAGCTCCGCCCCTGAAGAAGCCCCACACCCTGTGAACAATTCCAAACATCAAGAGTGCCAATCCACTGCAGGAACCAGTAGGTTTAAACAAATCATTTTGTGTTACTTAACTGTGAACACATTCAAATGTGTCATATTTCAGTTGGTTACAAGACAGATTTTAATGTGTTTGACACTAATGTGACATTTTTTGATGTGCCATATTTTTGATTAACCATATTTGAACATACTACTGTTTGAATACACTACTGTTCAACAGCTTGGAGTTGGTAATTTTTTAAATATTTTTGAATTGGTCACTAAGGCTGCATTTATTTGATATAAAATAAAAACAGCAATATTGTGAAACGTTATTACAAATTACAATCACTTTTTTTCCTGTTTTCATATATCTGCAAATCTAATTTATGCCTGTGATTGCAAAGCTATGATATCCTCATTTGGTGCTCAAAAAACATTTTTATATTATTATCAATGTTAAAAACAGCTATGCTGCTTAATCATAAAGGTTTGTTTTCCAAAACTCTTTATTGAATAGAATGTTGGACAGAAATAATGGTTTGCAACATTGTCACTTTTGATAAATTTTATGCACCCCTGCTAAATAGAAGTATTTATTTAATTTCTTTTTAAAAAATCTTACTAAAAACAGTCATTTGAAAAGCAGTGTAAACTAACATGAATCAGATTTGAGAGCTGCAGCACAGCACAACATTTCTGAACATTTCTACATTTCTTTCTTTTTCTTCACACAAAGCTAGTATAGACTTCAGAAAACTAAATATGAAGAAATGAATATGCTACAGTGTATAGGATGTATGTTTGACACTCACAGTGGAAGCAGTTCTTCCAGGAGCCTAGTGGAGAACCTTCACTCAGTATACGCCCTTCTGTGTAAGGAAATATGCTTGTGAGAAGATGGGAGATGGGTTCCTCAATTTTATTTATCACATGAGGGGAAAAGGCCTACATGACAAGACAAGATCATCGAGATCAAATCATCCCTACTGTCTCTCTCACCTAGCCAGCAGATGAAAGCCT